TCTCCTTCTCCTTCTCCTTCTCCTTCTCCTTCTCCTTCTCCTTCTCCTTCTCCTTCTCCTTCTCCTCCTCCTCCTTCTTCTTCTTCTTCGCCATAAGAAAAATCTTTTTGGGGGGATTCTACGAGAAAATAATGAGGGGTTGTCTCTTTCACTCACCCCCTTGAGGTTAGTTTGGAGCTGAGAAGGGAGCAACACAGGATGGAGACAAGCTTCCCCTGTGCGGGGTGGGGGGGGGATGTGGAATGGGGACTGGAGGGATGGCTCGGCTGGTGAGTGCTTTCTCTTCAGGCATGAAGGTTGGGTTTGAATCCTTAGCAACCCACATAAAAAGCCATGTGTGGCAGTACACATCTGCCATTCTAGTACCAGGGAGGTGGAGGCAGGAGGGTACCTGGAGCTCACTGGCCAGCCAGTCTTGCTGAATCAGTGAGCCCCAGTTTCACTGTGAGACCTGTACCAAACATGGGGTCAAGGTTCTTGAGGAAGACATTGACCTCTGGTCTCTATATGCATGTGCGTAAACATGTGCATACACTCAGAGAAAGTAAACCTCTCTCTTGCGCGCGCGCACACACACACGGAATTAATCAACAAAACACTTTTTTCCCCAAACATTCTTACTTTAGTCATGCAGTCATCCTGGGAAAAGGTCAGTGGCATTAATTATTAAAACTCATTTTACAGCCCAGAGATAGGCGGGAGAATTGCTTAAGGTAAAAGGTGGCAGAGGACACAAAACCTTCTCCCATATTTTCTGACCTTTCCAGTCACTTTGGAATTCCAACTGGGAGAGAATCGTGTGCCGCCCTGGGGTAGATGCCCACAGAATAGGACTGGTGCTGGTGGAGAAAAGCAGTTTCCATATCACCCCTCTGCACCCTCACAGGGGCATTCCTGATTCCTTACGTGGTATTTTTCATCTGCTGTGGAATCCCTGTCTTCTTCCTGGAAACGGCTCTGGGGCAGTTCACGAGCGAGGGCGGCATCACGTGCTGGAGGAGGGTCTGTCCTTTGTTTGAAGGTAAGCGTTGGTTTCATGAGCAAAGCCAAGTTTACCTCATTAATGCCGAGTTGCCAGGAGCCACCAAAGGCTGTTTCAAAGGACAGAGAGCCCAGCTGCTCTTTTCCATTCCTCCTCACAGGCATCGGCTATGCAACGCAGGTGATCGAGGCGCACCTCAATGTCTATTACATCATCATCCTGGCCTGGGCCATCTTCTACCTGAGCAATTGCTTCACCACTGAGCTTCCCTGGGCTACCTGTGGGCACGAGTGGAACACAGGTATGGTCTCCAGGCTGGGCTCTCCTGCTCCTGTGGAGGGATCTGGGGTTGGTGGTGCACCCTGAGTTCAGTTTCCTGAGAGTGGCCTCTGGAACAATGGTCACCTGACCACAGTATATTCAGCAGTTAGAGGTAAGGCTGAGCCCTGGGGACAGAGTTAAGTTATGACCAAGCCCTGGACTGCAATTTGAGGATCTAGTTCTGCCTCTCTGAGTGGTTCATCTTCCTGAGATGGAGGTGTTAGATTAAACGAAGGGCAGTCAAGATGTAGTCATTGCGTCTACAGTAATGAGCACAAACTCGAAAATGCATTTGGTTGCCGGAATTTGAAACCCAGAAGACACTATGTGGAAATCCCAATTTCCAGCTTCTCTCATTTAAAGGATTTATTTATTCTTATTATATGTGTGTGAGTGTTTGCCTGTATGTGACCATATTCATGTAGTACCTATGGAGGCCAGAAGGGGTGTCATATCCACTGGTTCCAGAGTTACAGATGATTATAAAGCACCATGTGGGTGCTGGGAACTGAACCCAGATCCCCTGGATGAGTAGTCAGTGCTGCTAAATTCGGGAAGCAACAAATGCTTACAGATGGCACAGTTGCCAGTACCACACCCAAGTTACCTGGTTTGCTTTACTTGTTCAAACCAGCTAAATGTTTGAAGGCAGCAACATCCCCCATATATACGTACACACACACGCAGAGTGGAAAGTTTTGTAGGTCATCTTTGACTTAGACACAATCTGTCATTCTATCAGGACTTCTTGGGCAATCTAGAGAAGGAGAATACCGGTCCCACCCTTTTCTGAGATTTCTGTGCTCACAGCAGGCATCACCAATGGATTGCAGCACTCTTTCTTTTTGAGACAAGCTTTGGCCTCTGAGCCCTTCTCAGAGGTGCTGCCTTTTGACTGGAATTGGCACACATACTTTGACCTATCTGTCTATGTTAGCATCTGTGGTTAATTGCGTCTGGGAGGGGCCTATGACCCTGAGAACTGAGATATAGTGAGCCTGGGTACTGCACTGGTCACTGAGAGAAGCCACAGCCATGTTAGGTCTAGAAAGCACAGCAGTCTAGTTTCTAGGTCTCTGTGTCTTTGCCTCACCTGCCTTCCAGTCACTTCTGTGACAGTTGTTGCTAACTGTCTTCAGGCCCAGGGTTCAGTCAGCCTTCCTTTGGCAAGAGACCTCATGGAGATGTTTATCAAACTAAAATTCAGGGATGCATTCTTGGACTCCTGATCAATAGTGTGTTAAGGGAACTACAGATATGCCCTGAATCTCCACCACAGCCACCGCCAGTGAGGGCTCTTGGGAGATTCTATGGCTTGAATCTGTTTTTATAATTTATAATTTCTCAAGATTTAATTTTAAATCATGTGTTAACAAGACACATGTGGGTCAGTAGCCCAATAATTGCTTAGCATGTGTAAGGCCCTGGGTTCCATCCCCAGCATTGAAAAAGGATGGAAGGAAAGAAGGATGGGTGGATGAATGGACAGACAGACATGTTGGAATGAGTTGAGGCTGAAGCGCGCTGTAAGGGGAAAGGTTTTGCAGAAGAGTGAGCTGGGAAAATATGGGGCAATGGGCAGGGTACTTTCATAGACCCTGCTTCTCGGCTGTCAGTCTGCTTTTCTGCTAGAAAAGCAGTTCACTATCGACACATGAAATTATTCTGCACATTGTGGGAGGGTGTGGTTTTGTTTAACCTTGTGTCAGTTTCCCAGTTGAGTTGGTATTTCATTTACAAGTTAATTAATTAATTCATCTTTAGAATTGAGTCTCATGTAGCCCAGGATGGACCTGGAATTCCTGGTCCTCTTGCCTCCACTGCCCAAGTGCTGGGATTAAAGGTGTACACAGGGCAGCTTTACTTGTGTTATGCTTGATCTTAGATCAAAGGCTGAGAAGCAGTTAATTTACTAAAATTTTAATTTCTTATCTGTGAGAATACTCATATAGGTTTATAACCATGATTTATCTTTATATAATCAATTTTAATGCAAATGATAGGTCAATTTTGAAAATATGATGGAGTGTTTGTGTGTGTGTGTGTGTGTCTGCCTTCCTTTCTGTCTACTTGTCAGTTTGCTTGCCTGTCTGCCTACCTGCCTGCCTGTCTGTCTGTCTGCCTGTCTGCCTGCCTATCTGCCTGTCTGCCTGTCTGCCTGTCTGCCTGTCTGCCTGTCTGCCTGTCTGCCTGCCTGTCTGCCTGTCTGTCTGCCTGTCTGCCTGTCTGTCTGCCTGTCTCTCTGTCTGTCTGCCTGTCTGCCTGACTGCTTGTCTGCCTGTCTGCCTGTCTGCCTGTCTGCCTGTCTGCCTGCCTGCCTGCCTGTCTGCTTGTCTGCCTGCCTGTCTGCCTGTCTGCCTGTCTGCCTGTCTGCCTGTCTGCCTGTCTGCCTGTCTGCCTGTCTGTCTGCCTATCTACCTATCTGCCTGTCTGTCTGCCTATTTGCATGTCTGCCTGTCTGTCTTGTTTTATTCTGCTAGGGTTTAAATTGCTAGTATTGAGACATGGACTTGCTCTGTGGCCCAGGCTGGCATCATCTGTCCTTCAGCATCCACCTCCCAAGTGTTGGGACTTCAGGTGTGACCACCACATCCAGCAGAGTTTCTTTTTCCTCATAGGAAAATACTAGGCAGCACCATTTTAGAGTCTGATAAAAGCCAAGGACACCATCATGGCCAAAACAGGCTGGGGTATATCCAGTCAGTTTGCTGACAACGTTAGGTTCTAGACTCCAGCGTAGACTCTCTGGGCACCCAGACCCACCTGCTTTCAGCATAAGCCAGCAGTAGCCAAGAGGAATGAGAATGACACAGACAGCCGGGCCATCTATCCCCTGTGGAGCACAGACCTTCCTGGTTTGTGATCCCCTTTCTACAGATCCTATGATACCATCACTTGTTGTGCCTAATATGCTCCTGCCTGAATGGCATGTGCAACTGGGGGGTGGGGGCGTTCATCTGAGTGAGAAGGCACTGGCAGATGTAGCAGCACCTACTCCTCACTGGAGCTGAATGAATGTCTGGGCCCTAGGGCAGCTGATATAGGAGGCTGTGCTCCAAGGATCCTGCAGCCCAGTGGCTCATGCAGCTATGTCTGCAGGCACAAGGTCCATGGTTGCTGACAGGCTCCTAATCAATGGCAGCCAGCAAGAGAACCCTGGATGGAGTTATTCTTGCTTCTGTCTTTAGTAGGCTGTAGGCTTTACAGAGGAGGGAGGGGGTGTACATGGGGCCTCAGCTATTCTTTATTTTTGGATTCTTTCTTTTCACAGTCAAGAAAGTTAGAAGGTGATTCCTTGGAGGTTCTTGGAGTTCTCAGTTAGTTAGAATCCAGGAGAGGAAGCTCAGGGAAGGCTTCCTGGGGAAGAAGGCAGCTCAGGATTACTCTGGACTTGGACACTAGGATGCTTCTGCTGCAGAGTCCCTTGATGATCAAGTTTTTGATAAGAGTTTGTTCAATAAACAAATTTTTTGACTCATTGGAGTGAGGGAGGGAATAAGAGACCAGAGGTCTCTTCTGTGTGTGCTCCTGCTGGTTCACCCAGCCCTCAGCTCTTCAGGAGGCCATTCCAGTCATCACCTCTTGCTCTGTGAATGGAAATTCCAGCTCTATCAGAGCCCCTGGGAATGTCTGTCCTATCCTGTTCTTTCCAGCGAGGGCACTGGGCACCAGAGACCAATACCATGGATGGGGCTAAGCAAAGAAAGACAAGACAGAGTAGCAGATGGTGCTTGTGTGTGTGTTGGGGGGTGGGGGGTAAGGTCGGAGGAGCATGCAATGAGATTCTGGATGGGAACAGAATGATGATTTGCTCCCACCACATTCCCCTCCTGTTAGAGCATGCCACCATGGAAGCTGTTGTCAACTCGTGGATTCTCCTGTGTATCCTGACCCCCTGTTTGCCAACATCATCTGGCTGTGCCATCAGCTCTGTGTGCTCCCCGGGTTCGGCCCCATAAAGGTTAATTTCCTGTGTGTTTTGTCTTGTTCCCATTCAGAGAAATGTGTGGAGTTCCAGAAGCTGAACTTCAGCAACTACAGTCATGTGTCCCTGCAGAATGCCACCTCCCCGGTCATGGAGTTCTGGGAGTAAGTGAAGGGTCAGCTGGCCTTGTCCTCATCCCTGCCTTCCCATCTCCTCCCACCTCCACCCCGCTCCTGGAAAAGCCTAGGCTCAACTCCCTCTACTCCAAGCTTCTTGGCTCCTGTGGCCATCAGACTGCTGTTGAAGCAAGCATGTGTGTGGGTTTTTCTGGGGAGTCCCATAGGAGCAGCTGAGAGGAATGCATTCTGGTCCTTTGAAAACATGTCAGCATGCCTGCTTACTAGGGCGGGAAGTGCTTGGTAAAAAGACAGTTTAAAAATTCATTCTGAACATCGGAGAAGGCAGAGTGTGCTTGCCGTAAGCAAAGCCGGGAGTATATTTAGCCTTAGAAAGCAGAAGTCTCTGGGGGGTGGCGGTGAGGGCTAGCTTGCTCTCAGTACTTGAAGTGTGTGAATGTTTCCAAATGTATTTAAAAAATATGTGAAGATCAGAAGGACCCAGAAGGTTGTGAGCACCCCTTATCCTAGAAGCTAGCATGATTTTATCAGAGTTCTAAAGCACTGTCATCCTCACAGGGCTGAGGAATACAGTTGTGTGTAAATTACACACTGGATATAACCTAGGGGAACATCAGTCTGAGGTGCCTTGTGAAGTGTACTCTGTAAAAGTGTATGATGCACAACCTGCAGAAGGTGTACGGTGGCTCTGACTCCTACTGTAGGAGAGTCCCTCAGATCAGGTATAGATAGGTGGTTTCTGTAAGTGATGGAGGCTAGACCAAATGCTCCTTGAGCTTTCTCAGTCTGCAGGGACCTGACATCATTAATGAAGTCTCCTATACTTTGTGGCTAATTATAGTAACATGTGAGGATGAATGATGGGTTTCTGAGTGATTTTAATTGATTTTTCAGATACCATTTGTTTCCTTTCTTCTAGAAGTCTGGCTGAATTTAGATCTCCTGTCTGTGTTTATATTTATTTCTTCTGTTTATGTATGTGCTGGGAATAGAACAGACACTGTCTTATGTATTGTAAACCTCTCCAGAACTAGTATCCAATCCCTACGTTCTCTTTTTACTATGTTTCTTTTCTCAGTTGTGGTTTTCAGCTGAATCTGTATTGATACAAAGATTCTGACTTCTTCATTCCTACCCCCTCCTAGAGCTGCACTCTCTGAATGGCTACTTTGTATTTACAAGTATTCTTGGTAGGGTTAGACTGTGATCCATTCCTACCATGGTTGAACTAATTAAGCTTTCTTGACTGTTTCTAGTTTGTAAACCCATCTTAGTTTGTTATATGCTACTGTAACAAAATACCTAGGGCCGAGTCACTTATAAAGAACTGAAGTTTGTTTCTTATACTTGTACAGTTTGGAAAGTCCAGGGTGGAGAGACTGGTGCCTGGCAAGAGCTGGCTTCGACAAGAGAGGAGCAAGGGGTCTAAATTCAGCTTTTTCTAAGGAAATCCCTGTTGGTCCCATGGTAAAAATTCAAATCAGTTCCCATAAGCTCCTTTTAAATGCTGTTGCATTAGAATTTCATTCTCCAACTCATACTGTAATGGGGGCACATTGAAACCATGGGCAAAGGTGGAACTGCTGGCCTGTGGGGCACGAGTGGCATCCATTTTATCAGACAATGAAGAGATTGCTCTAATATGCATCCTAAATGTTGGCTTGAAAGAATTCATACTGCTTTGCTTCCTTTTTTCCTTCATCCTTTCTTCTTTCCTTCTTCCCTCCCCTCCCCTCCCCTCCCCCCCCCCCCAACCCCC